TTGCTCAAGAGCAGCTTCCCGGCCGCGCTGGGCCGGGCCGGGCCGGGCCAGGTGGGGCGCGCCAGGGCTACCGAGCGCAGCGTGCCAGCTGGCTCTTGCCAGGCTGAACGGGGCAGCCCGTGCGGGGGGAGCAGGGGGCGAGGCAGCCCCGGGAATGGGAACGCAGGTACTGCTGCCGTCCCGGAGCCACGCGTTGCACCAGGTGTGCAGGGTGCTTGGGTGGTGGGAGGCCTCACGGGCGCAGGGGCTGCCGCGTTCCCCCCATGTCCCTGGCCCCGCAGCGGGCCCGGCTGCCTTTTCCCAGGTGAGAGCTGGGGCCTGCTGTCCCCTCCTCTCTGCTAGCGCTGTGCAATCGCGCCCGTCCTGCCCGGCTGCTCCGGATACGCCTCGGAGCCGGTGAGCACCACGTGACAGCAGGGTGAGGCAGGGAGAGGCACTGGGTGCTGGGAGCGCTTGGCTCCAGCCAAAGACAGTCTCTCCAGTCCCCGGGCTCGGCAAGAGCGGTGGGGACGACGTCTCCTGGAGGTAGGCTTTTCTTGTGGCTGTGACACAGTTTCCCCAGGGAGTCGGGGCTCCCGCGCGGCCCTGGGCGTAGGTACTTCCAGCCAGCTGCTTTGCAGGGGGCGCTCAGCCCGTGGCCTGGTGACAGCTCTCTGGGAGCCCCGGTGCTGTGCCCTTGCCTGGCAGGGCAGCTGGATGCTGTGGCATCCTAGAGGCCTGTGGCCTGGTGCGTGCCGTGGTCCTGGCCGGCCGCCCCTCCCTTCTGTGACCCTGCGTGGGGTGGGCACGGGTTCCCCCCGTACTGCGCGGCATCTGTCCGTGCACCCGCCTGGCAGCGAGCCTGGGCTCCACCTGCAGCTGCCGCTCGCTGCCCTGGCGTAGAAAACGGCTGGCTCTGGGGTGGGAGCGTGTGGCCCGTGCTGTTAATTGGCGTGTCTGGCTGATTAGCCATGCAGATGGCAGCGCTTGCTCTCCCCTGCTGCCGGGGACACAAAGGGATGGAGCGTGCGCGGGAGAGGCCCGTCCTGCCAGCATCTCGGTCCATCTGTGCCCCCCGCGCGGGGGAAACCTGGCTCCTGGAGGGCCGGTGGTGCCACTGACCACTGTCCGCGGTTCGTGGGGCAGGAGCTGGGCCACCTGGGGTCGAGACCCCAGCTGCCCTGCTGTTCCCTTGCAGCTCGTGCCCTATCTGGGCTAGGATGGGCGCCTCCTTGGTGAGGGCAAGGCCTGAACCCTTTGGGCCCATGGAGGGGCAGTGCCTTGTGCTGGGCTCAGGCCCGGGTTCATTGCAGTCGTGCCCGGGGGCATTGAGGCACCCGGCGAGAGGGCAGAGAAGGGGGCAGCGGTCGGCGCTGGCAGAGAGGGCCTGCGCCACCCAGGCACTGCGGCACATCCACCAGCCCCTGGCCTGCTGCGGCAGGGTCCCGGGTGGGAGACGTGTGAGCAGGCAGTCGCGTGGGGTGGCTCAGCATCTCGTTATCCCCCCGGCAGCGGGTGCTGGTTGCAGCGAGGGCCGCATGTGCCCGGCACAGTTGTTGCCTCCGCCTGTTTGGAGGCCTGGCGGTTTCCCTGCCTGCGGAGCACCAGGGGCCTGCCCTGCCCGAGTCCTACGGCCCTGACTGGGATAAGGAGGGGGAGGAACGCAGGGCGGCTGCCGGGGCAAGGCTGGCAGGGTGTGGGCTGGGAGCCAGGAGCTGCAGCAAAGCTGGGGCTGGTGTGGACGTGTGTGGGCCTTGCCAAGCGCTTCCTGCTCCGGCCTCGGGCTGGGCCAAGGGGAGTGTCCTGCCACTGAGCACGTCCCCGGGGAGGAGCTGGCTGCAGGCGGGTGGTAGGGTGCACCTGGCCGTATGGGAGAGGCCAGCAGCAGTGCCGGCTGCAAAGCGGGCTGGGAAAGGGCACAGGTACACGCGTGCAAGGGACCGGTGCCCGGCACCGCTGCTTCTGTCCCTGCCTCTCCGGGCAGGTCAGTGCCCATCCCTCCGCAGGGACAGTCCTGGCCTGGGGGCTGGGAGCGAAGGATGGTGGCGTGGGCATGCCTCAGGAAGAGGCAGCGTGGCCCAGGCTGCTCCAGTTGCAGCGAGACGGGGCTCAGCGCCCGCAGCGCGGCTCTGACTTGCTGCGGTGCAGGCTCACAGCAGCTCCTGCGGAGTAGTGGGTGCCCAGCAGGAGCCTCCACGGGGACCTGATAGTTGGCCCAGGCCTGCAGCTGTTGCGCCCAGTCTCCTTCTGCCAGCAGCCAGGCCCGGGTGCCCTGGGTCCCGTCGGCGGGTGCACAGCCGGCAGCGAAACCGGGTGCCAGGAGCTCCTGGCAGGGGAGCGGGTTTTTCTCCTGACTCAGGTTCCCACCTCCCCACCCACGTGCTCCCTGCCCGGGAGGGAGCTGCCTGCGTGCGGCACAGCCCGCATCTGCCGGGCCTGGGGGAGCAGGTAGGACCCGGCGGATCTGATGCCCGTAGCGCTCTGCTCCCTCCAGGCCTCGGGAGCCAGAGGCAAATAGGCCTGGTGCAGCGGAGGAGCAGGCGGCCAGGCACCTGGGATCTGCGGGCTCTGCCCCTTCCCCCTCTGGGCCTCAGCATGCCCATCTGCAGCATGGATGCAAGCAGTGCTGTGTGCACGAGCAGGACAAGCCGCTGCCCTGCTCTGCATCCGGAGATGGTCCCGTTGCTCCCGGCTCTCCTGCCCTTTCCGCTGGGCCGTCGCTGACCTCTGCTTCCCAGGGCTCTCGCTCAGGGCGGGTGCACGGCACGCGGCCTCTGAAAGGGCCCTGGGCTGAGAGCCAGCAGCACCGCTCCCGAGCACTTCCCTGCCTGTCCCGGGCACGGGGAGCTGGAGCAGCCTGGCTTCCTGCGAGTTACGTGCAGCCGGGGTCCTGCCGGGGCCTCCATCCGGGTTGTGACTTGTTTGTGGAAGCAGACGGCCCCACGGAGCCGCCTGGCGCCTCGGCTGCAGGGCGGGCCCGGGGCCCGGGGAGCTGCTGCCCAGCCGGTGCCCGTGCTCGGGGGTCCGCGTTGTGTCTTGGTGCCTCCAGCCCACCTGCTTGCCTCGCATGTGCGCAGTCCTGGGGGCACCGGCACATGCCATCCCTCATGGCCTGGCCAGGAGCTGTGTAGCGGAGGCAGGTGGGGATGTGTCCCTGGCCAGGTCTTTTGCCCCTTGCTGGGATGGGCACGGGGATGTGGCTGCCTGCCTCTCCCCCGGCCTCCTTCCAGACTGGGGCGGCCACGGGATGAAAGAGCCACTGTTCTGGAGGTCACTCGGGGCGTCACGGGTTCTGCGCGGCTCCGGCTAATTTTAGCTGCCCTGCAGCGTCGTGCTTTCCCAGGGTCCCGCCACTTGCTGTCCTAATGACAGTGATTGCTGGCTGGGGTCCCGTGCTCCTCCCTGCTGCCCTGCGCCCACCCGCCCTTTTCCCAGGGGCAAGTGCGGAGGCACCATGGGGGCCAGGCCAGGCCAGGCCCTGACAGAGGCCTCTGTTCCCTGGAACAAGGAGCTTTTTGAGCAAGTGGGCACGAGACCCTCGCTGGAGGGCCTCGCCGTGGCTCTGCAGGGCGCCCGTGCAGCCAGGAGTGCAAGGATGTGCTGGGCAAGACCTGTGCCCCGACGTAGCAGCAGGGCCGGGCAGCACTTCCACCGGAGGCTGCATAATTCTGCTCCAGCGCTTGCTCGGGGTGGCTGTGAGGGGGTCGTTTGCTGGGATCCATCCTGGACGGGCCTCGCTTGTGGGTGGGTGCCCGAGCTGGTAGCTCCAGGTTGCTGGTTCTGGCTCCGGGAGAGGCCGGGGGTGTCCGTCTGTCCGTCCATCGCTAACCCGGGGTCTCCCGCATGTCTCTTGCAGAGCCCCAGTGGCACGGGAGCTGCCATCCGCCGCCTGCCGCGGGGAGCCGCGCGCTCCCCGGGTGCCGCCCAGCAGCCATGTTCAACCTGATGAAGAAGGACAAGGAGAGGGATGGGTCGCGCAAGGAGAAGAAGGACAAGAAGGAGAAGAAGGAGCGGATGTCGGCGGCCGAGCTGCGGAGCCTGGAAGAGATGAGCCTGCGCCGCGGCTTCTTCAACCTCAACCGGGGCTCCAAGCGGGAGTCGCGGGCGCGCCTGGAGATCTCCCACCCCATCCCCATCAAGGTGGCCAGCGGCTCCGACTTGCACCTCACCGACATCGAGGCCGACGGGCACCGCGGCAGCGTGGCGCTGGACTCGGGCCAGCTCAGCACGGCCAGCTCCAGCGACGACCTCAAGGTGGACGATGGCAACTTCAAGGGCTCGGTGCTGCAGCGGGCCGCCAAGTTCGGCTCGCTGGCCAAGCAGAACTCGCAGATGATCGTCAAGCGCTTCTCCTTTTCCCAGCGGAGCCGCGACGAGAGCGCGTCCGAGACCTCCACGCCCTCCGAGCACTCGGCCGCCCCCTCCCCGCAGGTGGAGGCCCGGACGCTGGAGATGCAGCTGGCCAAGCAGGGCGTGCCCCCGGGCCACCCGCGGCCCCCGTCCTCCTCCTCCTCCTCCTCCTCGGCCCCGCGCTCCCGGGTGCCCGAGCTC